ACACTGCTAAGGCGAAGTCTTACTATCGTATCACTATCGTAATGATCAAAATGGTAAAAGCATTTAACCAATTTTCATATTTCTCTTTACTTTGAGGATTCCGAACATTGCAAACTCATTACATTATTGAAAGTGACTTGAACGTGTTCCGTTTCATGATAGGCTAAGATGAGAGCTCTCTGAAGAAGCCTTTTTTCAGAAGTCAGGAAAGCTCGCAGGGGCAGTTGGTTTAAGTTTTCTTTGTGAATTCCGGAGCCCGCGCAAATATGTAGGGGAAGTTGGGGGAACGCCGAATACTTTTTTTCTGACGCCCGTAGCACGCAAGGTAGACAACATAAGCTATTCTTGTTGGCGTCATTCGAGAGGCCAGTCTTTTGCCTTTCAAACATACCAGGCGCATTTGATGAATTCGCATACCGTTAAAGGGAGATAATGAGCTTTCTTTTTTCTTAAATAAAAACTACTCGACATCTATACTATTTCTAGTTTCTACTGTAGTTTCTATAAAATATGAAAATTTCCTAGCACATTTTCGTATGTGAAAAAGGTTTTTATTTTTGCAAAAAAGAAGCAGTACTTGCAGTACTTGTAACACCCACCGAAATGCGTTGTCCTTCTCTATAAAAAAAAGTCGCAGTATATGGCGCTTTTGTTTCAAACAGCGACGCTTGGGTTTTTGTTTATGTTATCGCCTTGTCGTTGCTTGGTTGTAAGGATTCTAATTTGAATTAGAGTTAATTCGGTTTAGAATTAATTAGATTCTAATTCGGGGGTACATAGTGCCTACTCTTCTTTGTTTCCAAGTAGGTAATAGGATATTTTGCGCCACAAATGAACGGCATGCGCCAGAAACGCAGCCAAATCTTGCGATTGCGACTACGAAATTCATTATTTTGGCGTCAGAGCCTGAAGCGAAAAATACAAGCATATTTATTTCAAAAAGACTTCAGGTTTGTCGAACGGTGTTATGAGAATTTTGATAACAGTACTGCATAAGTTTTTCAGTGATGCCGCAAAAGTGTTGCATCCATCTTCTTTTATTGTGCAGTCGGCGGGACCGATTCAAAATTGAGTCGTGTGCTCCATCTTCTTTTATTGTGCAGTCGGCGGGACCGATTCAAATTGAGTCGTTGCTACTAAAATAGCAGCATACTAGGGTTACCCGCGTGCTCCGCAACGCGAAGAAGGGCTCAATTTTTGACCCGTGGGTATTGGTTGGTCTGTGTCGATTTGGCTGGTATCCATTTCGTTCGATTGCTTTTTGACGGCCAAGCATTTTGTATAAAAGATACATCGCATCGAGGTGCCCGTGTCGTATTGTCAGGCGTTCTACTACTTTAGAATGATTCGAAAACTGGCGTGAAGTCTTTTGAGGGCCATCGATGAATTGTGCTAAAAATGACGATGCAATGGTTTGGAACATTTACATTTTTAAGAATACTGTTGCTCATCATGCAAACATGAAGAGTGAATCTTGGACAGAATTGAATGCTCTTTCCAACGTGCCATTTTCAATTGCCAAACGTATCAGGTTATGCAGCAAAACCCGTGTGAATAATAAAGTGGCACATAATCGACAAACACCATTTTCTCCCGTGATTTGTACCACTTTGGCGTCGATCAATTAGCTATTCACAATTTTCCCATGAGAGGCGGTACATTTCTCTTGCCAACAGGCGTTGTTTCAACTCGCTCTGTTTAACGGTCACCTAAAAATAAAATCAATTCCAAAATCCGTCAAAAACCGCATTTTTTCAACAAAACTGCCCTCACGGGTGCACGTGGCACGTGCCATCCTCTACATCGTACACCATTCGACAGCCCGCTCAATTATCTACACGATGCTGTTTTCCCCGTGCCGATCGGACCCCTGGTCACCAAGATATTGCACGGGGACCGGACCCGTGTCGGGCAAATTTGGCCGTTTTCGCCCGATTTCGCACGCCAATTTATACACGTAAAGTCTATGACGCGATTTTGCACTTTTTGGGCACGCGCCACGCGCTCCCTATCAATCCGATCGAGTTGAGACCCCTCAAAGGCACGTCGCGCATCCTTGATCTATAAGTTGTGCAAATTTCAGGGCGCTAGGTGCAACGGTCTGGCCTGTAGTCCACGCAAAGCAGCACCAAGTCGGGACCTCGGTAACGGACAGACGCACCCTCCTCAAATAGTAATATAGATGGCGTCAGATGATGAACAGGAAAAATAGTTGCGTAAATTTAGACATAAACCACCCCCAAACCATGAATATCTTTTGAAGGCACTATAGACAACCATTAACTAACTAGATGTGATGAAGATCAAATGTAAGGAATACGCTCATTTTACAAAATTACATGCAAGTACCAAAAAGTGATGTAAGTACTTATTCAACGGTCATTTTCAGCGCTCCCCGCTAACGTGACTTCAAGTTGAGATATTTGCGGCAAGGTACCGAATTGAGCAAAATGGTTTTAATTTACATAACTTGTTGTGTTTTGTCAGAAAATGCTCCTAACTCAGATTTTGTGGAAAAAGGTCATTATCTCCCTTTAAGCGCACAAACTAAAAATATCAAAGAAGTGACTTTTTCGGCGTTGCCCCGGACTGCGGGGAAAGCCGAAAATGGGAGAAACTAGGGTTACCCGCGTGCTCCGCAACGCGAAGGGGGGATTTTTTGACCCGTGGGTATTGGGTTGGTCTGTGTCGATTTGGTTGGTAGATATCCATTTCGTTCGATTGCTTTTTGACGGCCAATCATTTTGTAAGAAAACAAAAAGATACATCGCATCGAGGTGCCCGTGTCGTATTATCATGCATCCTACTTTAGAATGATTCGAAAACTGGCGTGAAGTCTTTTGAGGGCCATCGATTAATTTCGCTAAAAATGACAATGTAATGGTTTGGAACATTTACATTTTTAAGAATACTGTTGCTCATCATGCAAACATGAAGAGTGAATATTGGACAGAATTGAATGCTCTATCCAATGGTACCATATTCAATTGCCAAACGTATCAGGTTATGCAGCAAAACCCGTGTAATTAATAATGTGGCACATCATCGACAAACACCATTTTCTCTAGCGATTTGTACCACCTTGGCGTCGATCAATTAGCTATTCACAATTTTATATGAGAGGCGGTACCTTTCTCTTGCAAATAGGCGTTGATTCAACTCGCTCCATTTAACGGTCACCTAAAAATAAAATTAATTCCAAAATCCCTCAAAAAACGCAGTTTTTCAAATAAAAGTGCCCTCTCCGGAGCACGTGGCGCGTGCTATCCTCTGCATTGCACACCATTCAATAGCCCCTTCAATTCTGTACACGATGCTGTTTTCCACGTGCCGGTCGGACCCCTGGTCACCAAGATATTGCACGGGAACTGGACCCGTGTCGGACAAAATTAGCCGTTTTCGCCCGATTTCGCACGCCGATTTATACATGTAAAGTCTATGACGCGAATTTGCACTTTTTGGGCACGCGCCACGCGCTCCCTAACGACCCGATCGAGCTGAGACCCCTCAAAGGCACGCCGCGCATCCTTGATCTATAAGTTGTGCAAATTTCACCGGGCTAGGTGCAACGGTCTGGCCTGTAGTCCACGCAAAGCACCACCAAGTTGGGACCTCGGTAACGGACAGACGCACCCGCCTCAAATAGTAATATAGACAAGCGGCTGCGCCACTTGCTTTGCTGCGTGGTAGAAAAATTGCGGCACCAGCCAATTTGCTTTCGAATGGTGTTTGATTCATGTCGATGTGTTGTCTAGAAGCATAGATATGGACGGAAATGTGAAGAGAATTTAAAAAAGAACTGTTCTGAGGGCGTTGTTGGAAGAAATTTGGGTGATACGGGGTCAATACGGGTCTAAGGGGTCAGCCCCGGTCACTTTGGGTCAGGCCAGGTCACATAGGTCACCTCTCGTCCAGCTGGGATCAGCCCGGGCCACTGTTCTGCTTTTGCCTCCACCACTACCCCTACCCCTACCACTACCCCTACCCCTACCACTACCCCTACCACTACCCCTACCACTACCCCTACCACTACCCCTACCACTTCCCCTACCACTACCCCTACCACTACCACTACCCCTACCCCTACCACTACCACTACATCTACCCCTACCCCTACCACTACTACTACCCATACTCCTACCCCTACCACTACCCCTACTACTACCCTTACTACTACCCCTACCACTACTACTACCCCTACCACTACCCCTACCCCTACTACTACTCCTACCACTACCCCTACCCCTACCCTGCCCCTACCACTACCCCTACCCCTACCAACACCGCCGGGTCATGTCGGGTCACAGAATAATTGGATCCAATCAGTACTAAAATATCAGACTTAAAGTGTTCCCAGCCCTGCCCCTATTCGTGCCATTCCATTACGCTTCATCGTATTTGTCGGAAATGGCGCTTTGTGACAAATGTGGCGCATTGCGGCAAACGCGGCGCATTTTCACCCGGTAATTGAGCATGCATCTTTGCACCAAATTGCACCCATATCGGACGGTATTTGACAAAACTGTGCGATTTGCGGCAAAAAGGGCGCCTTGTGACCAATGTGACGCCTTGCGGCAAACGCGGTGCACTTTTATACTTGTATCACAAACTGCTCCCATTGAAAGAAAATCAGCACATTCTCTCGCCACTTTTTATTCAAATTAAAAACTTGCCCATCCGCCAATGCGAGGCACCCGTCGCCGATCGGCATGCATTTAGTTCACAAAGTTTGTCGACCCCGGCTCTCAATGAAGATCTGCGAACCGATCAAAATTTCATTGGCGTTCTTCCGGCGCCCGCCACGTGCCAACCGTGCACCCCAGCGAGTCGGAACCTAAAAAAGGCGTTGACCCGCTCTGTCACCTAGAAGGTGTGCAAATTTCAGCCCCCTACGTCGTACCGTCTGCCCTGTAGGCGAGGTCAATTGAACCCACTACACGATGTGCGGACACACAAACTCACAGACGGATTCTGTTTGAATAGTAAGTTAGATAATCTACGGGGAATGCCGACATTGATGTTTTGCCACTTTATCTCAAACCTTATCCAGAATTTATCAAAGCTGACACGCGTTTTAAGAGCTTGAGGACGCTTGGTGCACACTGGAAGTTATAATTGTGTGATATAGGGGAAGTTGGGGCAATGCCGGAGTTGGGGCAAAGCCGAAATTCGAGATATTTCGAAAACCGTAAGACATGGATGCCACCTGTCAGTGATGCTCTGAAGCTTAAGTGACTACAATTATCGCATGTTTGTTACGAGTCGTCATTCGGAATACTTCGACTGTGAGGGCGCCAAGAGCGTTTTCAAGGTAAGTTGCCCTTGTACTACATGCGCCTTTGAAGCTGCATTTTTTACTCATTATGCTACCGTTTGTCTGGCCAATTCGGTCAAGTAATCTTTAGCATGTCTTTGCATAAGTGTGCTGCCTATTTGAAATTTATACAGCACGTTGAAAAGTTATGGGCCTGCAAATGAAAGTATGACTGGTTGGGGTAATGCCGAAAACGTGCGATTACGCACGTGTTAAAAGCACGCTACGTGGACTTTACTGCTGTAGAATAGCAACGCGTATTTTTAGTCACACAAATTACACTTTCAACCGACACAACGGCCTGTTACCTATAAGGAACGATTTACCTGGCATTTTCTTATTATATCACACAATTATAACTTCCAGTGTGCACCGCGTCCTCAAGCTCTTGAAACGTGTGTCAGCTTTGATGAATTCTGGATAAAGTTTGAGATAAAATGGCAAAACATCAATGTCGGCATTCCCCGTAGATCATTTCTCCCATTTTCGGCTTTCCCCGCAGTCCGGGGCAACGCCGAAAAAGTCACTTCTTAGATATTTTTAGTTTGTGCGCTTAACGGTATGCGAATTCATCAAATGCGCCTGGTATGTTTGAAAGGCAAAAGACTGGCCTCTCGAATGACGCCAACAAGAATAGCGTATGTTGTCTACCTTGCGTGCTACGGGCGTCAGAAAAAAAGTCTTCGGCGTTCCCCCAACTTCCCCTAATAAGAAAAAGTGCCAGGTTAATAATTCCTTATAGGTAACAGGCTGTTGTGTCGGTTGAAAGTGTAATTTGTGTGACTAAAAATTCGCGTTGCTATTCTACAGCAGTAAAGTCCACGTAGCGTGCTTTAACGTGCGTAATTGCACGTTTTCGGCATTACCCCAGCCAGCCATACTTTCATTTGCAGGCCCATAACTTTTCAACGTGCCGTATAAATTTCAAATTGGCAGCACACTTATGCAAAGACATGCTGAAGATTACTTGACCGAATTGGCCAGACAAACGGTAGCATAATGAGTAAGAAATGCAGCTTCAAAGGCGCATGTAGTACAAGGAACGTGTACCTTGAAAACGCTCTTGGCGCCCTCACAGCCGAAGTATTCCGAATGACGACTCGTAACAAACATGCGATAATTGTAGTCACTTAAGCTTCAGAGCATCACTGACAGGTGGCATCCATGTCTTACGGTTTTCGAAATATCTCGAATTTCGGCTTTGCCCCAACTCCGGCATTGCCCCAACTTCCCCTACATAACATGTTATGTGACAAGTGCACCAACTCCAAAGTCCAAAAAGTAAGCGTGGAATCTTGTCTTTGCGTGGGGAAAAAATGAGTCTTCTTCAGTACCATCAGCAATTTTTGTGAATGCAATGAGACGAAAGAAAGATCACTTCTAGCTCAACCTTACTCGTTCGACGAAAGCACGGTCGTAGTGAAAGAACGAACCATCAATCCTGACCGCGACTTCACACGCATCCCCGCTCGGTCGGCGGTCTCGGTAACACCTAATCACCGCCTCTGGACCGGGCGTGCAGCTGCCGGAACGGCGTGCCGTCCGAGGTGGGAGGCGCCAGCCACCCGGGGCGTCCTCCGCCGCCGGCGGCGCGCGGCGCGTGCGCTGGCCTGCCTATATGACGGCGGCGCGGCGCGGCAGCAGCTCAGTGCCCGGCACGTCAGAGCCGCCCACCGTACCTGAGGACAGCTCCGGAGGACCGCCGCCGTCCCGTCAGCCGCCACAGACCGCCAGCCAGCAGACAGGTCAGTACACAGAGGGGACGGGCCGGCTGATCCGCCGGTCTGCAGGAGACGGGGGCGAGCACCTATGCTGCCCCTAGTTCGCCCATGTGCTGTCCCTGGGTCGTCTTCTTTTGGGTCATGGGTGCCACGTATGTAGGTGTTAATTGTTTTTCATTAGTGCGGGCATGCATGTTAAGAATAAGCAGTCAAAGACCACATATCACGAAACAAAACGTTACACAATTCACAAAAGTTATAAATTGAGGCCAGCAATCATTTCATGGAAATATTGTTTTGTATTGTATTTTTGTATCCTATATTTAAAAGCTCGCCAACAGATGTATTCGAATGTCCACTTATGTATATACAGAAGAAATTAATTCATGGAAACAAAGCTTCAAACACCGTGCATGAATATGCAAAATGTTAGAGGGTGACAATCTCAGAAATATTTTCCATTCATGGGAAATATTTGATGTTTTTATCATGCGTTTCGCTTATCGCTTGGTATCTTCATCATACCCACCATCCACCAAAATTGCGTCATTGAAATGTTAAATGTTGTTCTTGAAGGTGCATTTTGGCAGAACTTAAGCCAATAAATAAGAAGAAGAATTAAGCTATCAATCATTGAGATATAAAATACGAATCTGTTTCGAGAGTCAGGGACTCCGCCACTGGAGAAGGGTGATCGCAAAGGTTCGGACAGCCCCATAATTTCATTTCCATTTTCAGTTCGAAAACCCCAATTCGGAAACCATGGCGGAGGCTCAACAGGTTGTTGAATAAAGGCTATCACGGATGCCTCAACTCTCGTTCCTTAAAATCGACCGAAATTGTGCTCTATTTGTTATGTGAATGATTACTGTAAGAAAAGAAACACAATATTGGTTTCAACTACAAAGCTGGCCAATCGGCAATGAACTCGAACCATTCTTAAACTTGCATAATCACACGAAGAAGTTATACCTAATTGCTCGATAGGTTGCCGGCCACTTCAATGGCATGGCTTCTGAAATGGAGTATGAACAATGAACATAACGTACTCCTACGTAAGAAGATAATCAATAAAATAATGTTCAACAAACATTTGACTCCTGTCAAGAGTAGTTCGTCTTTTCTTTGAATCGCAATCGTAAGGGAACTTTTTATGTGTGACTTGGCACCGTTATCTTAGCCCGTGGCATTTATTGCGAACTTTATTGCGCGTGTTTACACTTCCAGCTTAATGCTGCCAGTCATGCTGCATTCACAGTCTCGGCAGCCCCCATAGTAACATCTCTCTCATGGTCTGGGACCGTACCCACGTCCCCTATTGTCGACTCAGCTAGCTCCTATCGCCGGCTGATAGTGCGGCTACCCGAGGTGTCACGTAACCGGGCCTATCACCGAGCGAGACTGAAGGGTGGGGCTGAGATTACCACATTCCGTACCCATCGTACCCACCTGGAGACCCGTGTGTACCCAGCGCACCCACCGGAGTACCCCTGCGCACCCACCGGAGTACCCCTGCGCACCCACACGAGTACCCCTGCGCACCCAATGTACCCACCGGGGTACCCCTGTGCAGTGTGCATCCACCCCCTCCGCGAGCGCTGTGGGAATCGGACCGTCCACTGTCCAGTGTCCAGCCCCTCCCGTCCCGTCGGCCGGAAGGCAGCAGTCGCCACTGCCGCCACTCCTGTCATCATTCAGCACCGAGTGGACCCTCGGCGGCGCCGGACCGGGTATCCGGTGTCACCACTTCTCGGTAGCACGGGGCGGCACCGCGGCCTCAGACACCTCAGACCGTTCAGCGGGCGGCGAGACCGCCATAAACAGGGCATTCCGACGCAGACAGAGATCATTACCAGACGTGATTCAGACTAATTAAGGCGCTGTGGCAGCGGAAGGCGCTGAATGATATCGTGCATGGTTCGTAAGAACATGTTCAGAAGGGGTCACCAAGCTACAGCTAAATACCTAACTTATATTACTAATGTCGGCTTGAAATAGTGTCGGAGGATTGTGGTAGGTAAAACTTTTCTGAACCATGGCTTTTCAGCTGAATAACTATGCCATCTTATAAACTTATAAACTTAGAGCTTCCAGCATCTTCATAAATGTGGTTTGCGTCTCAATTTGAAGAATGAATTATCATTTTTCTACGATGAGCATTCATTTGCTTATCCACCTCATTCATTGCCGTACTGGTGCAGCGGTCACAACAAACTGCATACCGCACCACCACACCGTACTCCGCGCGTCTTGAGTTGGTCACTGGTCGGCCCGCAAGACCGCATTGCGTGGTGTCTGCTGGGGACCCGCGGCGCCGCTCTGCAGTCTGCAGTGGTGCGGACCGCGGCTGCTATAAAGGCTATCGAAGTCACCGCCTAGGTTACTACGTGACCTACGGCAGAGAGCGAGAGTAGGGGTCATCGTCCCCACCCTCCCCTCCCTCCCCCGTCCCCACTGACCCGGTGTGGCGGCGCGGCCCTCTCTCCGCCGCCAGTAGAGAGAGCAGGAGTGTTTACGCACACAGCTGCTGCGATAACCCCGCGCCCCACGGTCATTGTCACAGATTCGGGGCTGGTTACACCGGTCTGACCGGCAGCAGAGGATAGTGCGAGCCAGCGCGTATCCGTATACGCGTGCATACTTCACACGCGTTCAGAAATGGAATGTGGCGGGACGAGATAGAAGCGGGATGGACGGGATGGACGGGACTGAGTGGCGAGTAGATTGGACCGGAGTGGGACGGGATAGATGAATGGGACGAGATGTGGGGGTGTGGGACAGCAGGGAGGATGTGATGGGACAGTGGGACAGGGAAGAGTGGGAGCGGTGGGAAGTGGAGCGGGGCAGACGGGTAAATGGGAAGATGGCGTCCCAGGAGATAGCCAGTTGCGGCAATGAAGTCTCCCCGCAGTCTCTGGTCCACTGCCTGGTACAGCTGTGTTTTTGAGAGTAGGTAGCTAAAGGTGCACTGCTTATACTGCGGTCACCAAGTTATTTAAGACACTAGTTACTAAACGGGTTGTCAGAAATTAACAGAATATTGAGGGAACAGTTTGAAAAAAAATATTCAATCTATATTTTGACCTTTGCCGGTTCCGTATTAAAAACTAGATTAACTAACTACATGTTTGGATAAAACACAATATTTTCTCAGCTACCATTCACGTCTGACGTCACAAAGCCGCTTAATACCCACTGGGCTTATGTCGCTGTTCAGTGGCGGTATCAACCAGCCGTTTCTTCGTCTGCATTGTGTCGCTATAGCAACAGACGCTGGCGCCTTAAACTATATGCATGTTCCGGTGCAGATGCCGCCTTAGCCTGAGGCAGCTCAGCCCGAGCGGTCATCTGGCGTCGACTATTTGCGCCTTACACCCACCTGACGCTAAACGGAGCTGATAAACTGGAAAGCAATGGCACCAAATGGATGTCGTGAAATAAAACGACCCACCATAGTCGCCGCAGTAACTCTTGACAACCAGTGTTAGCTATTTGGAAGGCAAAGTTCTAAACTTCGTTGCATCGGAATTCAGCCGGCAGTGGATGTCTATATTTGGAGGAGGGTTCGTGACGGTATGAATGCATCATGCACGACAGTCTCTAACTGGTAATAAGCCCACGCTGGTTTGCAGAGGCAGTTTGGTAACGTGGTGCCGTGTCACATTGGAAACCAGCCCGATATTACATTTCAAGGTGGGGCTCGTACTAAATTGCTTCATTAGGCTCGCTATGAGTTTTCATGCATTGAATCATGCTACACCTTGTGAGTCATTGCCATGTCATCATTAAAGCTGATGTAACATAAAGATATTCTCCTTTGTTCATGAGAATAGCATACATAAAAATGTCTTGAGAATATGATAATTAGAAGTGATGTGAACAGACTTAACTTTAGCTTCTGCATCATATAGCCGCAACTTTCAACCCCTTGACTTGCGTTTCATCACTACCATTCCAGGATTAGCACGACATACTATTTCGTACCCATTCCGATAATCAAATAAAACAGTTTTAAGGACTTGACGATCAAGTGCGAGTCACAGTGACTTTCATAGAAATTAAAAAATTGATTACATTTAGTCTGTGATTATATCCCAGTTTGAAATACCAAGAGACAAGCATACCTACTCGTAGACCTAACCTGTCCCTTGCTATCAGGTCGATGATCAACTATAGGTTTATTGGGTATACACAAATAGAGCCGCGTCATCTCTGTTAAAAAGTACCTTTCTGCTTATCATGTTCTTATCCTCTCAGTATTATGCAATTCCAGCCCCAAGAAAAAGCTAATAGAAAACCGCAAAAATAATAGTTGCCCGCCGCCAGCAACCGATGTATTCGTCAGCATGTTTACATTCGATTACCCTATCAATGGGTCCCATGACGTAATGTTTGCTATGCTATATTTTCTGTTAAATAATTGATTCGTTCAGTTCTCATTACGGACATGATCAATTATGCACAATAAGATCGCTAACAGCTAACAACTTTTTCTTAGTCTCTGGTGATTTTATTTTACGCGAAATCCGGAGCTAAGACTAGAATATTGGCCTCAACCTTCATTGGACTAGAAGAAAACCCGCGATCTTTCTCTTTAATTAAAGGCCAAGAGTTTGTTTTACAACATGTCAATCCAAAAATAGCAGTTTCCATGAATAGTTCCGCAATCATTACTCATACTAGGTACAGTACACGAAAGTTTGCTTAGAGCCACACCAGGCAAAGCATTTCGAATATGTCACTTGAGTAGAAAATATAGGCATTTTATGTCGTTGTAATTCGCTAAAAGCAACATTCATCACCATCACACGATAGTACACTGTTTTGTACTGCTATTCACATCGACGGATACGCAAAGCGCTATGACATTCCACCCGTAAATTAGCCCACACCCAATGACTCGGAATTCAATTAGCACATTTTGAACGCACTCACGCTACGGCCAATTACCGGTTAACTCGGGAGTAAACTAATTACCTTTTCGCCGTATGACTGCTGGTGAAGAGGTGCGGCCGATTGGCGGT